CTTGATGGTTCGAAATATTGGGATATTCCTTCACATCCCGTAGACACGATGGACGGCCTCTCCACTTTCGACCGAAAATCGTATAGGGATTTCCCAGATCGGTCTCGGACTGATGAACTTAGACTCCGTGTGGAGATCGCGGAGGGGTCCACATGCCCCAAAGCCACGCCATGCTACCCATGAGTCCCGGGCTTTCCGATCAGTTCGCCGTGTAGCAACCTTGAGGCGGTGCTCACTCTTTTTACTAGGACAACGTTCAAACGGACAAGAGAAAACCCAGGAAAGCGGTAGCCACAACGAAAATGCAACCTCGTGTTGTCCGAAAAGGGGTCGTGAAGGGGGCAAAAGCGGACCAGACTTCCCATTTCTGCATTGAAAGCCTTGTCTTCATATTGCAATCCATCGATCTCGCTGGCATGTTGCTGCCAGCCATACAGTCTTGGCGCGAATGCCCTCATAATTGCAGGCCGCGTCAAGCTCGGCAGTCTATTTTTGAGAGATTCTGTGGGGTTGAGATGCTGTCAAGCTTTGAGTCTAATAGTAGGTTGCTTTTGTTCTAAGTACCTTGTTCTCGAAGAAAGTTAATTCTTTTTAAGTCACAAGTATAAGAATATAGTTTTAATAAAATAATATAATACCTACTTAGTACTTAAATTAAGATACTTTTTTAAGCTTATTATAAAAAAAAGATAATTATATTACTAACTACTTATTATTAAAGTTTATAAGTAGTACTATAGCTTTAATTATTATAGTTTTAACTATAATAGCTTTATTTATAATAAGTAAAAAATCTAATTATAAATCCCTTAAAAACCTCTTATTAAGAGCTATAAGAGCCTCTAAGTTAAGTTAAAATACTTATTAAAATACTTATAACTAAACTAACCCTATAATAATAATTTTAATAAAAAACTTAAAAAAAAATACTAAAATCCTCGCTATTATTAAATATAATTTATAAATTATAATAACGTAACTATAGAATATTATTAATATATTTTATATTAAAAAGGGTATTATTAATATTAATAAGATAAATAGGGCTATATTAATATAATACTTTTACTTCTTTTTATAGCTCGAGGATAATTACTTTAAATAGTATTAAAAGTTTATTAAAAAGCTTTTTTAAATATTTTAGTATATTTATTATTATTTTTATAATAATAAGATTCCTAGTACTTATATATAAAAATAGGTTATTTATTTTTAAATAATAATACTAGCTTATTAATAAGCTATTAAAACTACGATTTTAGTGATTTTTTAATAAAAAAGAGGGTAAAATAGAAAAAAGAATAAGTAATTTATAAAAAAGGTTAAGGTTAAATAGTATAGAATTCGAGGGCAGGGTAGCGTCTATATGTACTACGGTAATCCTCTAGTAATACAAAACAATGGAGTTAAACAGTGGGGGGGGGGGGGGTTGCTTTTGTTCAATCGCCATCGCCGTACTCTCCGAGGATTCGCTAGATTGAATGGATTCGCCTAGAAGCTTTGGGGAGGGTGGCTTTCTTAGTGGAGGCGATTTGAGGAATTACGTCTCTTTGTCGGATCATATCCGACGTGGCATCTATTACTTCTAAGCCGCGTGGATCAAACTATTTCAAGCCCACACAACAGTGGTCTCTTGGGCACTCTCTGTTTTGGAGACGATTGTCCCATAGCCGGGAAGAACGTTCGTGGCCAAGCCAGCTACTAATCCCATCTATAAACCCTCTCGAGTGCTTCGTCAATCGGGGCAGATGAAAGTCTAAGCTTGTTATCGGAGAAGATGAATTCTTCGTGGGTCACAAGTACGAGGATGCAGCTTTGATGGAGCAGTGTAGTGCCCACCCCGCCCTTGATTGACGTGCTTTTTCAAGCTTGCCATAAGAGGACAATGGCTATACTGGACAGATGAAAGTCGTCAATTAAGGACATCCTTATGCTCAGAGTATGTTCACCATGACTTAAATTCATGCTAGTGACTAGCAGCGCTTTCCGGACATGGGCTACTGCTCTGTTGAATATATCGCATTACCAAATTTAAAGTGGATATAATGAAGAGTTCTCGGATCATTCTGTTTCTTTCATTTCCAAAGGCTGTTGAGGACCGCAATAAGGCATGACTTGGCCTCTGGAAGCAGACACGAATTTTCGCCCCTTTCCCAACAATGACTCGTAAACTTGGAGGCAACCGCGCGCTTAGCATTGATGCAGGCGACATCGCTCAGAGATTGCCACCTCATTTACTGATGAGAGTCATTATGTAAGTAAGGTAAGATGAGAAGACTGAGGGCAGGTCAAAACTGTTGGTGCCCGGAAGTTGATGGAACCAAATCGATGACGGGTTATTCGCCCTTGCTGAAGCGGTCAAGTACACAGATAATCCAGCTTGATGACCTTCCCGATGTACCCCTTCTCATAGCACCCTGAATGCGCTCCAGATATCATCGCTTGCTCTGTCTTACCCTTGCAGTATTTTCCATCTCATACAGCCTTATGGATCATGTCCGTCAAGTCAACGACTTAGAGGTTTATTCAAGGTATCTAGTCAATTTGCGGGCAAGGTAAGCGAGCAATCACGCCTAGGGAATCCGTCGAGGTGGATAGAGAAACTTGTATGGAACTCCGTTGTCGACTTCCTAAATGCCATTACGGCCATTATCTGTCATCCTGCAAAACGTGGCTAAGCAGTCACTTCACTGATCAATGTGTCTGGACGTCGCGACGATGATCGTGGCCCGCTTCCCCGCATGATGCTGGAGAATCTCCGTCCGTTCCCCTCACCTCATCAGTTGCATCCCCAGCCTCCGCCTTTAGCCGCCCCAGATCAACCCCAACTCGGATGTTGCGCACCAATTGCAAGATGGATCTGATCCGGGATCACACTTCGCGCAATCGTCTTATTTGTGCGCAAAGTGATCGTTTCTCGGCGTTGTGGAATAGCTCACGTCGATCCGTGTCAACGAGTGGGAAGAGAGCTAATATTCGGCCATGATTGAGGCCATAATCAGCTAGCTTCGGGCACTATAATAATAAGCTTATCACGACTGTGGTCGTCTCTTGAGACTTCGGTACCGATTCGTTATGATCTAGATCAGCCACCAACATGATATTCTCCCTCCTTTCAGCCTTGGTGCTAGCGGCCTCTGTGGCCCTAGCCCAGGATACCTCGTTCACGAATCCTGTTCTGTGGCAGGATCTTGCCGATTTGGAGGTCATTCGCGTCAACAACACATACTACTACACGGCTTCGACGATGCACTATTCTCCAGGGGCACCTGTGCTCAAGAGTTACAACCTTGTTGACTGGGAGTATGTGGGACACTCGGTACCTGAGCTCATCTTTGGAGAAGAGTACTACCTGAATGGCAGCACCAGTGCCTATGTAGGCGGCATTTGGGCTTCTTCCTTGAAGTACCGGGAAAGCAATGGCCTGTTCTACTGGTACGGGTGTATTCAGTCTGGCGGAATGAAGACCTGGATTTTTACCGCTAGTGATCCAGCGGGACCCTGGATTGCTCAACCCCCCATCGAAGAATGCTTCTACGACTTGGGGGTCCTTGTTGATGACGATGATACTATGTATGTCGCGTACGGAAGATACAACATCAGCGTCGCTCAACTCTCACCCGATGGGCTGCAGCCGGTCAGGAACGAGGTAAGTTCCGAATCCGGAACATGCAAGGGCATCTTTAACTTCTCTTTCTAGGTTGTGTGGGTCGACCCAGTACGATATCTGGAAGGAGCAAGATTCTATCACATTGGTTCCAGCTATTACATCTGGCTGACCAAGCCCGCGGATGGTCAGCATGTGTTGAAAGCAGATAACCCGTGGGGTCCGTACACCAATCGTACGGTTCTCGACAGGATGGCATCCCCAATTCCGAACTCCGGAACACCTCATCAGGGAGGCATTGTGGATACCCCTGATGGTGACTGGTGGTATATGTCATTCTTGGACGCGTATCCAAGTGGCCGCATCCCGGTTCTGGCACCGCTTACATGGGACGAAGAAGGCTGGCCTCAAATTGTTACGGATGAGGCCGGAGGCTGGGGCAAGACGTATCCGATGCCTATTGAGACGGAGAAGAAGGTGAAGGCAGCTGGAGCGTACACCGACAACTTCGATAGCCCTGTTCTCTCAGCCGAATGGGCTTTCAACCACAACCCGGACAACTCTGCCTGGGAGCTCGGCCCTGACGGTCTGACACTGCATACGGCAACTATCACAAGCGATTTATACAGAGCGAGAAATACTCTTGCCCACAGAATCCAAGGACCAAAGAGCAGCGGCACATTCCGACTGAATCTTGGCAATATGGCTGATGGCGACGTATCAGGCGTCTCAATCTTCCGCGACGAGTCCGCTTACATTGGGTTCCGCAAGGAGGGCGGCACTCTGAAGCTTGTCGCGGTTCATGATCTTATTTTGTCCGAGAGCTCTGGCTGGCAGACGACCTCCAATGGCACGATCGTAGCCACGGCCACTGAGTCTGAAGTCGACCTGTCGGGGGTTGCCGATGGTTCTGTGGACATCTACCTTCGCATAGTCGCAGACGTCCACCCGACCTTTGGGGTTGAGGCAGATAACCCGAGCCAGCTGCTGTACAGCCTCGACGGAGAGAACTTCACCCAGCTTGGACCGGACTACCCCCTCCACAACAGGTGGCAGTTCTTCCTAGCGTTCCGTTTCGCAGTGTTCAATTATGCTACGACGTCTCTTGGGGGTTCAGTCGTGGTAAAGGAGTTCACTCTCGATTCTGTAAATTAGCTCAACACTTCTTGGATAGAAATCCTCGTGACGAAGAAACTGGTCCGAATGTCACTGCGGAAACTGTGGTGCGCTGTTCCGGCTAGTATGACTATCGATATGAATGTGAGACCCTTCGTTGAGCCATTCCTTTCTGGTCGCTGTTCGTGTGAACATCTTCCTTCAGTGCTTTATGTACATTTTTTTCGGCCTTCTCAACATGTTCTTCTGCGATGGGTCGTTCTTGAGGAAAGTCGGCTCATGGTCCGCACTCTGCAGTTTGCAAGCCATCGATCTCGAGGCAATCGTTTTGGAAGTCATTGTTTCGCACAGGGTCGGATACGATAATGCACTGTGTGAAAGAAGAAAGCACAATTAGCAAAGGGCAGACCTGGGACTGCAGCGGGGATGCTGGATCGTTAGCTTACTGCATCGCCTCCTGTGCCTTCTGTTAGCAGTCTGTTTCCACTATGGTGATACTCAAGGGAATGACTTACTCATATAGCCTTGGTCGTGGCATGCAGATGTCGTCCAGTCAACGCGGACTTTTTTGGATGCCTGTTCGCGACAGAAGCAGCTGATCTCCTGCTGGGCGAGGGTACCCGCCGCGAGGGTCCTTGGTGTGCGTCAGTATATGTATTCTTTGGCTCGACCATTTTTAGATGCGGCGTTCTTACGCAAGGAAGACAATATGGGTTAACATTTTTGACGCTTGGGGTGACTCGACATGTTTTGTCATGAAACCATATCTCACTGTTCAAGCGGCCGGGTGTGGAAGATGTACTTATATCCCATCCTTCCATGGGACACATCTCTCTTCAATGACTACGGCGCTGTAATCAAATCTATTTGTCTCTGAGGTTTGACTATATCTAAGTAAGCGCTCAGATATGCCAAGCTGTGCGGTTCCTGATGATCTAGCTTGGAGATAGTGATGTTTTGGACGAACCATTGCGATAGACTTTAACATAGAGGTAAGACACTGGACCATCCTGACTTGCATCGGTCTCGCAAGCTCATGCGATAGGATGCAAGGCAATTAATCTCCACCAGAGAGGCTCGGACCAGAGACCTCGAGTCATGCTGCTGAGGATCGTGCCGAGATGAGGCTGTCTAACCTTTCACTCCGGCTATCAAACTCTCGGAGTGCTTTAACCGAGGATGACTTCTCTGTTGAGACTCGATGAGTGTTTTCCAGGCGTCCGGCGGCATAGCTGGAAAGGGAGCCGCACATGTTGGAGAAGGCTTTCGCAAGAAGATGTGGAAGACATAGTACGGCGAGTTGCCAGCGCAGTCATTCCCAAACTCCATTCCCGCGTACCTGGAATGAATTTGTTTGAAATCAAGCTCAGCACCAAAAAAGCACAGTCTTAAGACTGTAATCAGGGTACATTCGTAGTAGTCGGTTACCAAGGCTAGCCCATGCGTCATCTGTTTGCTTCTTGCCTTAACAAGTCGCAGGACTGAAAGTTAATGCAAGCCTGCCCTTTAGGAGAACTGTCCAAAGTGAGTAGCTGTATCACCTACGCATAGAATCATGCCAATTGACCAAGAAGAGCGGCCGATATGATTCTAATTGATATGGGTCTCGGCCAGGGGAAGTGAATCAAGGAAACTGACTATTTCTTAATTTTAAGACGAAAGGGATAGTTCGCACAACTCCAACAACAAAATTAAATGTTTGACATTGCGATATCTTCTGGGAAGATTGCCATTCTGTAAGCGAAGAGAGTATGTTTTCAATCACGCACTTGTCATCGACAAGGTTGTGCTGAATGTATTTTTACTCGATCAAGCGAGCTGAATCCAAGGGATAAGGCCCAGGACATCCATTTTCTGGTTTACTTCAAATCGAATAAATTACAATCTGACCAGCCCTCTAGGCACTCGATAAAGATTCGCAGCCAGATTCGGCAAAAGGTCTTCCACGATGGGTGCCCAATTGACATGAAACAGAAAAGAGAAGGATACTAGAAACATCGAGTCAACTACGCCATAATCCTGAAGGCCTCGCAGCATTAGGTAGGATGAAGACATTTACTGAGCCGCGGCTGGATGTCATTGGGATCATTGAACTTTCAATGATGAAGAAAGAAGGAAAGAAGGAAGCAAAGAAACAATTGCCAGTAAATAAGGAAAGAAAAAGGTCGGATGATGCTGTGCCATGGCACCCTTCTCTCAGGGAAATAGTAGCCGGAATCGTATCCAGATTCATAGCTATCTTTCACTTGGTCAGCGGAGTATCGAAAGTTCCCTTGCCTTCGGCAATTGGGTTTGGAGCCTGAAGTCGGCCAAAATGCTCCATGGAGCCAATCATTGGATAGCCCAGGCCAAGCTGCAATAGCTGCTCAAATTCACTCAAAGGCCCACGAGATTTTGTTGAGCCTCCTGAGATATTGCTTTCGTTCAAGGGTATGATGTGCGAATACGATGGTGTTCCACGATTAACCCGAAGTTCTGTTGTCGCTCTTCGTGAAGAATGCCAATCCAGCAGCTTCGATCCAACTATTTCAGCAACAGTGCAGTCCTTTACTTCTCCTTCATAGTATTCATCGCCTGTATTCGCGAAAGACCCGTGACCGAATTTGGCTGGAGCATCCTTTGGAACGGGATAGGAAAAAGAATCGTATGATGATGCCATAGCTGGCAATGCTTTGTTCTGACGTGACGGGCGTCGTAGGATACTTGAATATTCCTTATTCGATGTTCGATAATCAGCTCGGAGGACTGTTCAAACAATTGAGATCAAAGGCAGGCTGTCAAATAGAAACGAGCGGTCGCGCAGCGAAGGTATGGATGGTGTCTGTTTGATCTTGCCAATGGCAAAGTCTGCTACCACCCTAACGTAAGTTAGCCAAAGAGCCTAAGATGGCAACATGCAATAGATCGCTATCAACAGTGCAATTGGGAGATACCTCAGTAAGATCTGAACGTTCAGCACAACGAATCTCTCTGCTTGGGAGCATGTGGATGTTTGATGACGTCGGGGATGGCGGCAAAAGGAGATGGACTCACCGTCCTGGCTAAGGTACCTGTAAGGAAAAAGGGATGTAGGCTGTTCTTTTCGGAGAATCATGATTTTTGGCAAAGTAGCAGCGAGTATCTAGATTCTTCTTTGAGATTCCGAGCAGTTTCAAAAGACAGGATGATCTGAGGACTTGCAGCAGTTAGAAAGATCTGGTAGCGGGACTGCCCTGCCAAGAGGTGGTTGGTTCTCTGACCACGTGCTGCCCTTCTCGACGCATTGTGCCCACACGCCCCAGACAGCCACCCGCAACATCGAGCTAGATATTTCCACGCTCCTTGTCTAAGGAATCTTCTTTTCCGTTGGAAACCTAGGCCACGATATATTGCTTACTGACAAGTTCCCGGAAGTAAATGTACACAGTGACTCTTCAAGACGTTACCAGAACTTGACCAAGTTCTTGCACAATGGTTAAGGCAGAGACTTTGAGAGTTTGTTTTCAATCTTTCCGAAAGCTGATTTTCGACGGATGTAGTATTCCTCTAGCTCCATCGAAGCCCCGTGCCGGAAAGAAAGCTGGGACAGTGTGAGCCCCTGAGACTGTGAGACACTTCAAAGAAGCATCATTCATCGCAGCGCTCGATACGAGGAGAAAGCGCCACCCGCCAGCCCATCACTGCCCACCCTGTGATACTTGAGCCTAGAGTGGCAGGATAGCAACTTTCCTACATACCGAGTCATCATCTATGTCAGGGGCTGTGTTACGCTGCCTCGCTTCTAATATCGTACGCACCAGGTGTAACCGCCGCCGTCTTATGCGGATCTTCTGTCGACACGAGAGAGGCGCTGGGGCTGCAAAATGTCTGGACTCTCGAGTGCTCTATGCGAAGCCTCTACGGTCGATGATATGACTTCAGGGACATTTGAGGCAACGTGAATCTTCAATATTCACGGGATGATATCCACCGATCAAGGTATGAGTTACACATCCAGGCATCTACAACTTGGAATTCTCCAATGGCAAGTGGCTTATGGAACGCGTCAGCAGATTAGCATTGGTTATGTGGGTATCATTCAAAGCAAGCTTCGATTCCAGGAAGTGTCTGGTAAGTGTTGTTGAAGGGAGTAAAAGTATAAGAGAAGTTGGCGGTACAGGTTTCTGGACCAAATCTGACAGACAAATAAAGTATCGGTAGTCAAGTCAAAACTCTCGCTGTCGGGGAGATGAGAGGTCCGTCCAGTACGGAGGAGGTCACTGGCCATTTTTAGGCCCCGACGATCTGTGCCGCTCTTGTAGCCCCTTTCCCCAACTGATACAAAATTAAGACCTTGTCCAGAGCAAAACACAGCCTCAATGGGTGCGGTCTAGTATTAGGCCGTTTTTGGCTTGCTAAGCTACGCGTATGTGAGGTTGGAGTAGAGTGCGCCTGTCATGTGGCGGGGAATGAGACGGCGACTCAACCGGGCGAGTCTAGGGAAGAGGCGCTGTCCCTGCATCCAGGTCTAAGTCACATTCGAACGCAGCCATTGTGAGCTGCACATAAATATAGATGTTGAATCCCGCTTTCAATCTTATGAATTTGAACAATACTCAGCTCATTGCGTTTCGGCTTGGACAACAGAATGCTCGATATTCCCCTCGAGGACCTCCAGAACCGTGGTCCCTTTGAATCCCGTCGACCTTATTCATCGATTTCGGATCCCAGCGGCATACATCGCAAACGCCAGACAATGGGGAATTTTATCTTGATTCTATCCTATGCCATCGATTGGGTTTTACTCATCGCATTTGCCGTGGCAGGCCTGCTGCTTGGCAATCTGTCGCCACAAAAACGGCCTTTTAACCTGGAGAACCCAGATATCAGCTTTCCGCTTCACAGCGATACCGTTTCTGTGACGAATCTACTGCTCCTGAGCGTCGCATTACCGATAGTTGTGATCTTTGGAGTAGTCATACTATTCGTACCCGGGGGAACAGTTCCCAGAGATACTCCAAGGTCCCTTGTCTGGAGTAGGAAGATTTGGGAGGTGCACGCAGGATGGCTGGGACTCGTCCTCTCGGTCGTGACGACCTGGTTCATCGTGAGCACAACAAAGAACCTACTCGGGAAACCTCGACCGAATGCATTGGCCCGCTGCCAGCCCGATCTCGACAATCTGGCCCGGTACATTGTTGGTGGCATATCAAACACCACCACCGTCGCAATGGGACAGCTCGTATCGGCCGACATCTGCACCAACCCTGACAAGAGTGTTATTGATGAGGGGTTCCGCAGCTTTCCGTCCGGACACTCATCCGTCGCAGCTTCAGGACTCATCTATCTCATGCTCTTCTTGGCGAGCAAACTTGGGGTAGCCGCGCCGTGGGCACCTCAGGGGGTACATCTGGGACCTACCCATCACTCTGCTTTCCCTTCGCGCATCGATGGGGAGAGCTTGGCGGGAGAAGGCCAGGCGGGCAGGCTCCCTGAGCAGGTCATACCGTTTCGAAGACAAGCAGCAGCTCCACCTATCTATCTTGTGGTCCTCACCCTTGTTCCATTCGCGTTGTGTATCTTTATCTGCGCTTCCAGATGGTACGACTTCCAACACCACGGCTTCGATATTTTGTTCGCTTTCGCTATCGGCGCTACCTCATCTTACGTTGCGTTCCGCTTCTATCATCTACCTATTAGTGGAGGCGCTGGCTGGGCTTGGGCCCCTCGAAGCGAAGATTCCGCTTTCTGGGCGGGTGTGGG